AAGAAGGAGACTAAGTTTGAATGGACGGAAAAGCGCAAAGAGAGTTTTCAGGAATTGAATATGAGCCAAAGGCGTTGGATGGAATTGCTAAAGGACTATGATTGTGATATATTGTATCATCCTGGTAAAGCCAACCGGGTAGCGGATGCCTTGAGTCGGAAATCGAGCATCGCGCATTTGTTGGTCAAAGAGTGAATTTTATTGGAGGGAGCGCGAAACTCAGAATTTAAGTTCGAGGTAGAACACCTCTCTAGTCTGATGGCGACATTAAGGATTGAACCGGAAGTGCAAGCCAAGATTAAGGCGTTGCAGTCTATGGACCCTGAGATTCAGAAGATTTTGGAGATGGATGCACTAAGAGAAAACCGGACTTCCAAGTGTCCGAGGACGGAATTCTTAAGTTTCGAGGACGTTATGCGTGCCCGATTATTGGGGACTTAAGGAAGAGATTTTGTCGAAGGCTCATAGGAGCAATTACAGTATCCACCCGGGCAGCACTAAGATGTACCAGAACCTCCGTCAACACTATTGGTGGAATGGAATGAAAGTAGACGTAGCCAAGCATGTGGCCAAGTGTTTGACGTGCCAACAAGTGAAGGCACAACATTGTAAGCCTGATGGAATGTTGCAACCGTTGGAAATCCCAGAATGGAAATGGGAACATATCACAATGGATTTTGTAACGGACTGCCGAGAAGCCAGAGGGGACATGATTCTATTTGGGTGATAGTAGATAGATTGACGAAGTCAGCGCACTTCCTGGCGGTGCGAAAGGACTTCGAGCTAGAAAGGCTGGCAGAGTTATATGTGCGACAGGTTGTTCGTCTTCATGGAGTACCGGTATCAGTCACTTCGGACCGTGATCCCCGGTTTACTGCGAATTTTTGAAAAAGTCTGCAATCGGCCATGGGGACTAAGTTGCAATTCAGCACGGCCTATCATCCGCAGACGGATGGCCAGTCTGAGAAGACTATTCAGACATTAGAGGATATGCTGAGGGCGTGTGTGTTAGACTTTCGGGGCAAGTGGGAAGAACAGTTGCATTTGGTGGAATTTGCCTACAATAATAGCTACCAACAGAGTATCGAGAATGGCACCGTTTGAGGCACTATATGGCGGGCGTACGAAACACCATTGTGTTGGGATGAAGTGGGGGAAAGAAGTATAACGGGTCCAGAGTTAGTTCAGCAATCGGTGAAAACAGTAAAGGCTATCTGGGAAAGGTTGAGAACAGCCCAGAGTCGTCAGAAAAGTTACGCAGACCGAAGGCGTAGGCCGTTAGAATTTCAGATTGGCGACCATGTATTTCTTAAAATCTCGCTAATGAGGGGACTATCTCGGTTTGGCAAGAAAGGGAAACTAAGTCCAAGGTATATAGGCCCGTTCGAGATTTTGGAAAGGATTGGGACGTTGGCCTACCGTCTCGCCTTGCCGCCGAATTTGTCGCAAGTTCATAACGTCTCCCACGTGTCGATGTTGAGGAAGTATGAACCGGATCCGACCCACGTGCTGAATCATGTGGTAATAGACGTGGACGACACGGTGTCGTACGTGGAGAAGCCAGTTCGGATCGAGGACAGGAAGGAATAGGTTTTGAGGAGCAAGACGATTCCGTTGGTTAAAGTTATCTGGGAACATCACGGGACGGAAGATGCCACATGGGAAAGTGAGGAGGCGATGCGACAACAGTACCCCTAATTGTTTGAGTAGTCGGGTTTGGATTGTAAATTTCGAGGACGAAATTTTTGTAAGGGGGGAAGAGTTGTGACATCCCGAATTTCGGCCCATTTTTGGGTTTTATAAAACGCGTAATTTGTCAGTGTGCTTATAGTAAAATCTTGCCCGGGAACTGATCACTCCCGGTTATCATTTTAAATTAGAGATTTCGCTAGAATCGCACTTGATCAAATCTGGCCGTTATTTAGACCCCGAACTTGGCAGTCGATTTTTGGGAGTTTCAGGATGAAATAAATTGGACGGTGTCAATATTATCGTAGCCAGCGTTGAGATTGTCAGGAATAATGGAAAAAGGGGAGTTTTTAACCGGGTGCGAATTTGGACTAGTAGACCTCCCTCGCTATAGTTTGATTTAATTAATTCGGCTTTTGTCCCTTTTTATATGCGAGGCTTATTTTGGACAGGTAGATCGCTTTCGATTTTGAATTTGGGTCATCGGATCGCATTTAATATTTGATTGAAGTTAATTTTTTTATTATTTTTCTCTCTCCTCTTTCCTCTCTCCTCCGCGCGCACGTTCTCTCTCTCTCTCTCTCTCTCTCTCTCCTTTCTCTTCTCTCTCTCGACCGCACGCAACCCCCCATGCGAAGTCCACTCACGCCCATTCCTCCCCCTCCTCCTCGACACCTTCTCTCCTCTCTCTCTCTCTTCTTCCTTCTTCTTCTCTTTCTTCTTCCTTTCTTTTTCTGCTTCGGTCTTCTTCCTCCCCGACAAGCCGCGTCTGGACTCCGCTCCGCCCGACGCCGTCTCGCTCGTCGCCGCGTACCGCGCCGTCGCCGACCAGCTCGACCGCCGCGCGCGCCGCGCCCGTCCGCCGGCCGCCGCCCGACCTTCCTCTTCTCTCTCACTCGCGCGCGCACGGCTCAGGCAGACTCACGCTGCGCCCGTCGCGCCGCGCTATCCAGCCGCGCTTGGCCATCGCCGCCGTCGTCCCGATCGCCGCCGTCAGTCGGCCCATCGCCCCAGGCCGGCTGTCCTGTCCCCTCCTCCCTCGTTCGCACGAGCCGTGAGCTCGCCCTGGCCGACCGCGTGGGCCCACTGTCCCTCGTTACCGCCGCTGGCGGTCCGCTCCGCCGTCCAGCTCGCCGCCGTGCTTTGCCTCGTCGCCGCCGGTCCGCCATCTCTCCCCGCCGGCCTCGATCCCTCTCTCTCCCTCAACCTCACCCCCCGGTTCACTCTTTTTCTCCCCGTCCAGCTCGCCGCCGCCGCGTCGCTGCCGCCGTCGTGCCGCCACCGCCGCGTCGCCGCCGCCGCCGGTAGCTACCCCCGGCCAGCCAGCCCGGCCGTGGCCGGCTCGTCGCCCACGGGACCAAGCCGCGCGCCCGTCGCCGTGCCCGCGCCCACGCCCGTGCCCGTTGCCGGGCGCCCGTGCCCGCGCCCGTGCCCGTCGCCCAGCGCTGTTGCCCGTTCGCCCGGCCCGTCACCCGGCGCATCGCCCATCCGCTCGCTCGTGCGCCCGGGCACGTCCGCCGCGCCCGCGCGCCAGGCACGCCGATCGGCCATTGTGCCCACTTTGGTCGGCCACCGCGCCTGTTGGCCTGCGCCCGCGCCCAGTCCGGTAATGTTCACCCGGGCTATTTTGGGCCCGAGCAGACTTTTCCCGGGCCAAACTTAGGTAAGTGACTTCCTAAACCCTACCTAGTACTTTGGGTATTTTTAGACTTGTTTAGGATGTGATTAGTATCGGGTTAGGAATTAATTTAGGCGTGGGCTAATTAGATTGAGTGTGCCCAATTTATGAATTATTGTGGTGATAATTGTGTGGCTAATTTAGTGATTGACTGAGGTAAATAGCATGACTGAATTGTCGTGGCGCTCGTGGGTGAATTGGAAATCAATTGAATGTGTTGACTTGAATGTCGGGTCGGTGGGCCGATGTGGGGAGCATGAATTGAGTTGACTGATGTGGCGTGCTAGATTGACATTGGTGAAAGGGTGGTGATTGAAAATGATTTATATGACTAAGAGCATGGTGAATTTTGTATTGTGGTTGTCTGGACACACTTGGGTGATATTTGAACGTGTGAATGCCATGAAATTGATTGAATTATGTGGCGTGTATGCTTGACAAGCCCGGATCGATCGGAGGGCTGCCAACCTGAGGGGTGTTGACCCGGGTTGTGAGAAAAGACCTGTGGGGTATTGACCCGGGTCGTGTGAAAGTTTGTTTTTGAAAGGTCCTATGGGGTGTTGACCCGGGACAGAGCCCGGATTGATCGGAGGGCTGACCTGTGGGGTGTTGACCCGGGTCGTGTGAAAGTTTGTTTTTGAAAGGTCCTATAGGGTGTTGACCCGGGACAGAGCCCGGATTGATCAGAGGGCTGACCTATGGGGTGTTGACCCGGGTCGTGTGAAAGTTTGTTTTTGAAAGGTCCTGTGGGGTGTTGACCCGGGACAGAGCCCGGATTGATCGGAGGGCTGACCTGTGGGGTGTTGACCCGGGTCATGTGAAAGTTTGTTTTTGAAAGGTCCTGTGGGGTGTTGACCCGGGACAGAGCCCGGATTGATCGGAGGGCTGACCTGTGGGGTGTTGACCCGGGTCGTGTGAAAGTAAGAAAGGTCCTGTGGGGTGTTGACCCGGGACAGAGCCCGGATTGATCGGAGGGCTGACCTGTGGGGTGTTGACCCGGGTCGTGTGAAAGTTGGATGGATGCGCATATGAAATGTGTTTGGGTTGAATTGGATGAACGTACGTGTGTATGGCGCTCGAATGATTTTGATGTGTTCATTGACTATTATTGCATTATTATGATTTGACTAATGTGCAGTGTGGGCATGTGATTGGATGGCGAGGTAAGTCCATTTATGTGAATTATATATATGTAATCGGGTAGATTGCATGCTGAACTTGTCTGGGTACGCATTGGCCTATGTGGGGTATAGGGGGTTGCTTATTGAGACTCGTTCTCACGGTTATTATATAACCATTTTCAGATCTGCGACCGTGATTGATTGGAGACGACACCAGGGTATCTCGGGGATGGAGGACGGGTCAAGTTACCCCATATTTTGTGTGCCCCTCTTTTGTATAGCGAAGTAGGATACCCCACCACTATTCCCTTTTGATGTTGTGTATTTGGAATTATTGTTTTGTGCTATCCCTTTGTCATATTTTATTGTCTGGGTTGTTTTAAATTCGCTTCCGCTTGCCTTTATCGTTGGGTGTTTCGTTTGGGTCGGCGACGCTTCCTGGGACGTCGCGTTCAATACGACCGTTGAAGGGGTGTGGCGAGCCCGTTGGGGTCCGGGGCGTGACAAAGTCCATGGCTGAGGTGACCGAGCTCGGGCTACATGGCTTGGTGGGTTTGATGCGAGATGCGATAACAACCTCGCTTGCTAAATTAGCAAATGCGATAGACGGGGAGGATTTGGCCGAGATGGTGATGAACTTGGCGGGAGAGTATCAAGAGGAACTACGAAAGGGCGGCGCCGACGTGCTCTTTTTCACCGGTTGGTACCGGTTTCCGCTGCACCGGGTCGATTTGGGTTGGGGTGAGCCTGAGTTTGTGAGTGGCTTATGCACTCCGTTTGACTCGGTCGTGTTGATGGATCATAAGAAAGGTGGCGGCGATGATGGCGGAGTTGTGGCGGGGGTGAGCCTGACTGAAGCCAAAATGGATCTTTTCCGTCAGCAACACGACATGTTGGAATACGCTTCCCCTAAGTAGACAGCACGATCCCATCATATAGTTGTCCGCATGTGACCAGTGGACCAAGTAATTTTATGTATGCAACATTGTAAGTCCACATGTAATGTGGAGGGTAGATGAATAAACTTTTATTTGATCGATTGAGTTTTTGAGTGTAATAGAAGTATGTTGATTATATTAGGGAAAATGAAAGAAATTCTCGCTTGCAAAAATTAGGTCAATCTGGGTCTAACCAGCTTTACCTTAGCCTTTGTTGTAATAATATAGTGCCACTAGCATGAAAAGCCATTGAGGTTTGCTTGACTATTATCTTGGTTTCTTGTCATGCAGTTTGATTGGCGCGGATTACTCGTCCATCATCGTACCGATTTTTCGCGCATCATACTTTTGACCTACGTTAGCACATATGTCAGTTTCAATTTGCCGAGGGACTTTGACCGAAAAAATTCTACAAATTCAGCTGCTTGATTGCAAAATTTATGTGATTGCAGGATCACTTCAAAAAAATCCGGGACTTATCAAATTCAAGTGCTGAACAAAACGAAAGTAATCAAAATGACTGGCTAGTGGCTTGATAAGAGCACCCCATATATTGTTTATTTGCTCACTTTTTATTGGTCCGAAGAGAACCACCATATTGTACGATGAAGTCAGTGGACTGATGGTATCATTTGTTTAGTGATCTACGACTAGTGAACCATTGTGTAACACGAGATGATTAATCGTGATGCCCTATTAGGCTTAGATAAATGTCCAAGTTGATTAAAAAATGGTTCAATGACTATCTAGAGGAAGAGGTCAGCTAGGCTAGAATAAAGATAGCATATTGATTATTTGAAGATCTTTTCTGATTTGTCTTTTATTCAATCTCATTGTAAATCAAATTGTATATTTTATCTTTAAGTTATACCATATTATAGATGATGATATCTCTATTTATACTGTCCAACATACCAATGAAAAGTAACGCTTCATCGACTCAATTCTTTATTTTCTTTGTGGTATATCATTTCAGGCCCCATTTGCCTTCTAAATTAAATATGTTCCTGTTTAGTACTAATATATTATTTGGTAAACAATCTTCATTATTAATTTATTCTAGTGGAAAGGGTTTGTGAGATCCAACTCTATAAAGAGGGTGATAATCGCGAGTAGGTAAAGGCGCAATAGCGAAGGCAACTTAGGAAAAAAAAATGAAGATTGAGATAGAGAGCAAGAAGTTGATCAAACCCTCAGCTCCAGCGGTTGACAGCCTTCGCAAGCTAAAAATCTCTCTAATTGATCAGCTTCAGTCTCCCACTTATGTTGGTGTCACTCTCTTCTACTCATCCAAAAAGGATGTACGCGACCCTTCATTTGTACCTATTAGCAAAAGATCTCGGCTGCTCGAGAAAGCGCTCGCGGAAACCCTAATCCTCTTTTACCCTCTTGCGGGGCGACACGTCGAAGAGAGGTGCCTGGTCGAATGTGACGACCAAAGGGTGGAGTTCTTGGAAGCCAAAGCTGATGGCACTCTCGATCAATTTCTCCATGGAGAAACTGACCCCGATGATGTCCTCGGTCATTTGGCAACTCAACCTCATCCGGTGGACCAGATTGTGCCGCCTCTAGTGGTTGTCCAAATGACCACGTTCACTTGTGGCGGCATCGCGGTCGGCCCGCGCATCTCGCACAAGATTGCCGACATGCACACTGTTTCGTCCTTCTTGAGCACGTGGGCGATGGCATGTCGCAGAAGCGTTCACGAGGCGATCCATCCGTGCTTCGATCTATCTAGACATGGCCACGGTTCGGAACCGGCGGTTCCGGTTCGTGGCCATGTATGAACCGGAACAGGCTAGTAAAAATTTAAAAAATAAATTATGAAATAAAAAAATAATGAATTATCAAATATGAAATAATGAATTATTCAATATAAAATGTAATCAAAATGTACATTGTAATCAAATTTGGAGAAAAAAAAAGAGAAAGAGATGGGGCTTGAACTTAATGAATTATCATTAAGCGCCTTATATATCTTCTTGGAGATAGAAGAATCAAAATCCATGTAGTTCTTTTACGCTCAGTCGTCTCTACTCGTTCCGGTACCGGTAGTGGTGGTATCTCTGTCGTCAAAGAATTCGGATTCATTATTCCGATCTATCTCTTGTTGTTGATATTGAGCCTTCATCCAATCATCGACGCAAGCTTGAGCCTTCATTGATTCTGGAACTAATCTTGAACGTTGTTCATTCAAAATATTATCTCCGGCACTGAATGCTTGTTCGACTGCAACTATCGAACATAGGGTTGTAAAAATTTGTTTTGCAATAAGAGAAAGGATTGGGTATTGGCTTGCGTGCCTCTTCCACCAATCCAAAATTAAAAAACCTGTACTACCTTCGGATTCAAAAAACTCAAAGGAAACGGTTAGATATATCTCTAATTCAGAAATGTTTCCTATTACTCCATTTTGTTTTTTTTCTTTATGTAATAAAAGTTGGTACCCTCTACTAATTTTACCTGTACTCTCACTTTATGTCTCGGTAGATTGAGAAGATCCAATATCACCTCCCTTAGAACAAAATTCATTATATAATTCTATTACTACGTTTTTAACCTTCTTTAGTATGGTTGTAACATTTACCGTATTATAATGTAAACATTGATAATACATATGCAAATAATCATCCAAACCATCTAATTTGCAACGTGGATCAAAAGCACAAACAACTAAATAAATAATGAGAATTTCGCTATAATAATGTAGCAACTTCATTCTCATTGTTACTATAGTATTTTGTAATTCGACATCATTTTCATATTTCTTAAAATCTCCGACAATATTAATACACTCTACAAAAAATAAATGCGTAGTAGGATAATAAACACCAGACAAAGTATAAGTTGCATAATTAAAAACCTTTAAAATATCTAAAAAAATTTTGCAAATATCCCACTCTCGTGCAAGCACTGCTGCAGTTTTTTTTTTTTGGGAACCGGTTTTGGTTCCAGTTCCGAACCGCGGGCCCGGTCAACGGGCCGGTCCTGGGTTTGACCCCAGTCGAAACCGGCCCGTGGCCATGTCTAGATCTATCATCTATTTTACCGCCAAGAGACTTGCCCAAGCTCGAGCCTCCCGCAAGACTAATGCCAGGTGCGAAATACGTCATGAAAAGATTCGTGTTCGACAGCCAATCCATCTTGAAACTCAAAGCCATTGCAAGGAGCGGGGGTTTCGATTCCGAAAGGGAACCCTCTCGTGTGGAGCTGGTCACGGCGCTCGTTTCCATTGCTCTCTTGAAAATTGCCAAGCTAAAAAATGGGCAGTCCAAGCCGTTCCTCATTTCGCACATGGTGAACTTGCGCGGAAGGACAGATCTCGTATCGCACGATAATTTGTGCGGCAATTTCTACACAGTGGTGAGCGGGAAGTCCACAGCCGAAGTGACCGAGCTTGGGCTACACGGCTTGGTGGGTTTGGTGCAAGATGCGATGACAACCTCGCTTGCTAAAGTAGCGAATGCGATAGACGGGACGGATTTGGCTGAGATGGTGATGAACTTGGCGGGAGAGTATCAAGAAGAACGGAGGAAAGGCGATGTCGACGTGCTCATCTTCAACAGCTGGTGTCGGTTTCCGCTGCACCAGGTTGATTTGGGTTGGGGTGAGCCTGAGTTTGTGAGTAGCTTATGCGCTCCGTTTGACTCGGTCATGTTGATGGATCACCAGAAAGCTGAAGGCGGAGTTGAGGCGTGGGTGAGCTTGACTTAAGACAAGATGGGTCTTTTTAGTCAACAGCATGACATTTTAGAATATGCGTCCCCTAAGTAGACAGCTTCAATATGAATTGATTGAATATTTCATGAAGGCATTGAAATGCACGATCCTATTATATAGTTGTTCGCATGTGATTCGTGAAATATATAATTTTGTGTGTGCACGTTGTAAGTCCATATGTAATGTGGAAGGTAGACGAATAAACTTTTATTTGATTGATTAAGTTTCTTTTAGTGTAATAGAAGTATGTTGATTGGTCGAACCAGCTTGACTATTATCTTGATTTCTTGTCATGCCGTTTGCTTGGTGCGAATTACTTGTCCATCATCGTACCTCGAATCACTAGTCCCCATGCTACATCCTGTGCTAGACTGTCATTTCACAACTTTCTCTACCACTTCTTAGATAACAAAGCAGACTTTACTACTTCTGAGGTAATCGTAGTGCGCCCATGTAGCAGTGAATCAGTAATGTGTTCCCATGACTCTGATAAAGAAGTTAACAAGATCATGCCCTCCTCTTCATCATCTAGAATCTTATCGATATTCTGTAAATCCATCATGAGTTTATTAAACTTATCTAAGTGAAATTTGATAGACATATATTCAGTATATCTAAACTGAAATATCATTTTCAACATGTACAAGGGATTGTTCAAACCCTTTGTTACATAAAGTGCCTGAAGTTTTGCCCACAATGTTGAGACATCTTTCTCCTTGACTACCTCTAGTAACACCTCATCTGACAGCTTCAACAGGATTATACTCCTTGCCTTCCTCATTATCACGTCCTTTTTCGCACATTTTATTGTTTCAGACAACTTATCATTGCCCTCCAATGCTTCGGCCAAACCTTGAGTTATTAATAGCGCCTCTATCTTAACGTTCCACAAACTAAAGTTGTTCCTTTCAATATCAACCTTCACTTCAGACATAAATGCAGCAACATAATTTCTAGATAATAATCACACAAGCAAAAACTCCAAATCAAAATCCAGAAAATCCTATCCTAAGGCATTAATATCAATTGTTGTGATATGGACGTGGAAGCGCTAATTGGATCTTACAATTTAAGTGAATGCAAAATCATCGAAGAAATGAACGAGGAACAGTAAATGAGATCTTTGGTCCGAGTATCAATAACTACGTTCATAGAGAAAACCAGTAACAAATAATCTACTATAATCGGTTCCAAGTTATAATTGTTCACACACTCAAGTGTTTTCCACATCTAGATTAAGCCAAAACCCAAATTGTTTATAAATAAGCAACTCATTTTGATGTAAAATTTACAGCATAAATTATCGTGTTTACATTTTTTTTTTGGTAAAGATTATCGTGTTTACATTTGTGTTGCCGAAAACGAAGAACGTCATGGGTTCTCTCTCTTCTTCGCGCGGCTCCACTTCTCGAAGGGAACACACGTCTTCCTTCTCTTTTCTTGAGCGGCTCCTTCTGTCCTGGCAGCTCATATGCACTTTACTCAAGAAACCCTAAGCATCCTTAGCTTTTCGACTAGGGGTGAGCGCGGTTCCAGGGTAGAACTGGGAACCGGAGAACCGGACCTGGTGGATCCGGTTTGGTTCCAGGTTCCATGGACAGAGGGTCCGGTTCCCGGTTCCACATTTTTAGGAATCGGGAACCGGAACCGGAACCTGGAACCGGAACCGAAACCAAAGACATAAACTTAGTATTAGCAAAAGGACACTATAAGTGCCATAACTTGTGTACGGCGCTCACTTTGGTGCCATAAGTTTTTTTTGGATCACTTTAGTGCTAAAATTTTTGAAAAACGATCACTTAAGTGTCATAAGTTTTTTTTGGATCACTTCAGTGCTAAAATTTTTGAAAAACGATCACTGAAGTACTAAAATTTTTTAAAAACAATCATTTAAGTGCTAAAATTTTTGAAAAACGATCACTTAAGTGCCAATCTCCGGCGAGCCACGTCAGCTTCAGAAATTAATAAAAAAAATGCCACGTCGAATTTCCGGCGAAAAATTGTGTACGGCACCGGAGTTGGCACTTAAGTGATCGTTTTTCAAAAATTTTAGCACTTAAGTGATCGTTTTTCAAAAATTTTAGCACTAAAGTGATCCAAAAAAAACTTATGGCACCAAAGTGAGCGCCGTACATAAGTTATGGCACTTGTAGTGTTCTTTTGCCCTTAGTATTTAGAAACCCTAATTCCCAAATGCTCCCTTCTCCTCCTGATTCACACCCGATCCTCCATCATCGTCCCTCCAAAGCTCCCTCCCGCTTCCGCTTCTGCCTCGCTCCTCGCTCCCGCTTTCGCTTCCGCCTCGCCCTCGCTCCCGCTTCCATACTCTCCAGCTTCGATCCCGCTTTCAAGAACCATGCTTTCTCGCCTATAGATTCGAAAGGAAGCACTTTCGCTCTCAGTGGCCTCTCCGTCTTGGTTTCGAGCCATTGGAACAAGCTTCCGCAAGACCGTAGAAGAAAGATCCGAAGCTCCGGGAGCCGGAGACTTGCCTTTTCTCTTGCTCCAAGGGCTGTTCTATTTCGGATTTTGCCCATCTTCTTGCTGATTCTTGAGGTGACCCAAGTGTTTTAAGTGTTGGGTGTCACTGATTTAAGTCGAGGTACGGAATGTAGATCTTTTCGGTTGCTGAACTGCAGATTTTGGTGCTTGTCTATGGTTTTGTGGGTCTGTTTGTTTTGATTTGAGATTTGCTTCTGGGAGTTTTGGGCTTGCTGTTCTTGGTGATTCTAGTTGGTTTAAGAGGTCAGTTAAAGCTCAAAACTTCCTAGTCCTTAATTTAAAATTAGAGTGTCCTGCTCTTACAGTTTATACCATCTCCGTGTTTCACATTTTACTAATTGATCAGCCAAGACTGAAAAGATCTTATATGTTTTGGTACTCCTGCAGCGATAAAAGAAACTTATGCCACATTGAGAAACTCCTTTCATACATCTAGTTCTTGGCTGTACATAGTACTGTGAAGTATATGTGTGCAAACATGTGCCTATTGTCAAATCGTTTTTCTGTTTTAACACTTGAAGAAGAATATAATCCTTTTGTTCATTTTTGGGTAGTTTCGGCCTGGATTTATGAAAATAAGTAACAGGACCTACACAGGAAGTGCTGTAAGATTGTGCAATGACGTCCTTACATGTGCTTGTGCTTGTGCTTGTGCATGTGCGGGCACTTCTGTGTTCTTGCATGTAAGAGAGACAGAGACTGTCCAATGTGGATGTCGTAGTCTACCAAAGTTCTGGTGGAAATTGACTAGCTCCATTCCGTCTAATATGCTTTTGTAATTGTCATTTGTTTCCTCAATATTTAGTCTTATGGCACTCCCATCTATTGACTTATTTAAGTTACTGTTAAATAGTGACGATGGTTTATAGTTGACTGTGTAGACTTTTGAGATCAGTGGAAATTAGCCATTGATTTCTTCCAGTGGAACAACTGTATAATTAAGAGCCTATGCGGCATTGGCTTCTTTTGTTTGAATCTTTAGAACTTTTGCCTTGTCTTGTTCCTTATTTGGCTTTTGTTAATGGATGTTGCAATTATCTGGAATTCTCTGGTCACGGTCTTTCATATAAGAACACAGAACTAGGAACAAGAATTTGCTAAGACTTGTATATAGTGCTTGAAGGGGACAGCTTTTGTTATTTGTTTGACAGCCGAAATGCAATATTTCAGTTTCTTTGTGTTTTGATCTTTAGTTTTTTACTAGCAGCTAGTTATAGTTCTTGCCTATCATATTCTAAGCAGGCTAAGTGGGAAACATAAGACGAAGTTTCATATTATCTTGTGTAGTCAGGCAGATTGTTCCTCTGCTACTTTTACTTTCTTGTAATATTCAAAGAACATGATTATGCTCAAGCTATGTTCCGATGGAAGATTGGAAATGGGCGCTCTGTATCCTTCTGGTTTGACTGGTGGCACAGCAGGGGCCCGCTATACTTGCTTTTTAGTAATGCGGAGATCTATCAATCGCGCATTCCTCAGGATGCTACAGTGCGATCTTTCTACGAAGGTTCTTGGCAACCTTCTAACACCCTTGCCACTATTATGGGTTGGATGGATCCCCTTCCGTCTATTGTGGATAGCTCGTTGGACAGCTTCGGTTGGACACCTCATCCTTCTAATTCCTTTTCTGTTACTCTTGCTTGGAATCATATCCGAAGGAAATGGCATCCAACCCCCTGGCATTCCTTCATTTGGGATCGGCACATAGCTCCTCGTCATGCTTTTCTCCTTTGGTTAATATCCCTTAACCGGCTACCTACCCAGGTATTCTTGTTACAAAATCGCAGGATTGCCGATGCTATCTGTGCCTTTTGTGGATCTACACCAGACTCAATCAACCATCTCTTCTTTGAATGCACTTCTACCAGTAGATTGGCTTCTCTTTGGGTGACAAATTGCAGGCTACCTTGGCGCAATCGTCCCTAGCAAGAACATATCCTTTGGGCTATGAAAGTTTGCGGAGGATCTTCGTTTGCCCACCGCATTTCTAGATTTTCCTTTGGTGCTCTATGTCACATTATTTGGACCGAAAGGAACAACGCTATCTTCAGGAACAAAAGCGTTTTCATCCCTGGTATGCATAAGCATCTCTTCAAAGTCGTGAAGGACAAAGCTATTTCCATGGGGACAGTTGAGGATACTTATAGGAACCGCATTGTCCAGAGAAAGTGGGACCTTCCTCCTTCTATCTTTGATTAATGACGATTTTGGCTGATATGGTGCCTTTTGGAGCGGATTCCGGAGTTGTGGGCTTCACCTCCATGGTTCGGTTTGGCCCAGCTTATTGTGGTGGTTTTGGTTTCCGGCGCCTTTTGTCTTTGCCGCTGGTAGTCTTGCTCCCGCTGCCCGGCCCTCTTCAAGATTGCCGGAGTTTTTGGCGTCGCCCATCCAATCTGCGGCTGGATTGGTTGTCTTTGTCTTCTTATTTCTTTTTTCCATGTTCTTAGCCGTCCTTCGGCTTGTTATATAGTTCCTGCTGGACCCTCTTGACC